TGATAAGCCTGAGTGGTCTGTTGACTGACCTTTGTTTTTGTTCAAATAATTGTTATGGGCAGGTTACAATATAAAAATTTTGTCATGTCTTGTGATTATCTGACAGGAGTTTTACTTTTAAACTGTAAGTGTATTCAATTTAGTTATGTTAGTTAGGATAGTTTAGTTATGATGTAAATACAATAAAAATTTAACCAAGATTTGAATAATTATCATTTTGATCCATACATTGGTAGTCTGACTGGGCCTCGTGACACTTTATGTTCAACAAATTGGGCCCCGTTAAAAAKCCCTGGCCTAAAGTATTCAGATCTTTTGTGGTGAAACAGAGTCTTTATGTGTCTGGTTTGTCTTTTTTTTTTTTTTGTCGATCCTTCTACTCCTTGTGTCTCTTTTTCTTTAAATATTTCAACTACATTGAGTTCTCAGTAAGTTTATGCAAAGTCCATATTTTCACAGTAAATGTAGTTTTCTCTCTCCTAACCCATGTCTGTTTTTTTCTCTCTCTCTTCTCAGATTTTGTATGAAAAGACGGTGCTGGAATAGCTTCAAATGAGGAGCCAGCTGTGTCAGGTACGGCGCGCTACACCGACCTCACCTTTCCTGTCCGCTTGTCAAATTGCTGCTCTGTCGGGGGTGTCGCCTATTTCTGGTTTTAAAACACCCTCCATAATAGGCGGACTCAGCGGTGAGACGTATCACTGAGCTTTTAGAAGGAAGAACGCCGGCAGAAACTGAGAGCAGCAACGAAAACCTTAAATAAAATGTTCTTTGTTGCTTCTGTGGTTTTACCCCTGCATTCAGAAACTCTCTGGACACGGGATGTGATCGGAGGAAACTAGAGAATTCAAATAATAAGAAGCAGTAATGTGCTGCTACTTAAAGACCCTTGATTAACTGATCAGCAAGAAACAAAAATGTTAATTTAAAACTTCTTTTAATGAATGAAAGCAGTGATCACCACATTCCACAAGACAACACGCTGAGAGGAAACCACAGACAGAAAACCAGAAGTTTGTATAAGATGTTTTAATCAGAGGTGATTGGTCAGTGCTTGGACTTCCTGTTGGAGATGACTCTCACCAACCACCACACCAAACTYGAACTCAATATGTCTAAAAATGGCCGACTTATGGCTGTTTTATCTGCTTGTTAAAGATTGATTAGTTGTGGCGGCCATCTTTGATTAATTAGCTGTAAATGTACACAGCGACTGTTTAATGAGATATTTTGCTAACAGGAGGACACGACCTGTTAATGTTCAAACTGTCTTTTAAATTCAGAGTTTCTGACATTTCAGTCAGCATTGGAATCTGTAATTCACATTAGTGCTGAAATGATTGATGATTTCATTTCCATATCGACTGGCAAAGTGGGAACAGAGCGCAGTCATCAAATACTAAAACTCTTTCTGCTGTGAGGTCAGTCAAGTTCAGGATTTTCTGTACCTTTTGTTAACAACGCTTCTGTCAGAGTATCAGGAAGATGTTTGTTAGACCTCACAGTTTCTGACAGCTGTTCCTGCATCAGGACTGACCCTGATGTCAGTCTGGACTGTCAGATCAGTGCCTGGTCTGGATAAAGTTTGGTGCTTCTCAGGTGTCGCATTGTTTTGTGTGTGGTTTGAGCTGTTTGTTTTGTTCCTGTTCAACCATGGATTTCTTCTGTGATCCAAAGAAACACATTCCCAGTTTTAAACTGGACACAGGAACAAATGTTTGCTTTAATAACTGATCTGTCTCTGCAGTGTTAGAAGGGATTCATGCGCTCCAGTTTGTTTGACAAAGTGGAAGCACAGATGGGTCCCTTAAGTCAGAGGTCCACAACCCTGCTCCTCGTGTCCTGCAGGTTTTAGATGTTTCCCTGCTTCAACACAGTTCTGTTCACAGTAATCTTTGAGCATTGCATTCCAGGTGTAAAATCTCTCTCTTCTTTTTCTTTAAGACCAATAGGCTGGAGCGTAAATCAAGGTTCAGGTGGCTTGTACTTAGGGACTGCACAGGACACTACACTGCCTGGCCGAAAAACAGTCTCCACCTGGATTTAACTAAGGTCTATGATGTGGGGTTACTGCAGTTGGTCAGGTCTAGGTTCAGCAACAGCTTGTGCTCAAAGAATGAGGTCAAATGACTGAATATACAGAATGACCAGGTTATTCCATCAATGGATGGATTATTCCCTGATGGCACCGCCATATTCCAAAATGACAATGCCAGGATTCATCTGGCTGCAACTGCCATCAGGGTTTGATGCCACGTTTAAAATTTCAGAGTCATAAAGTTCACTGATGATTATTATTATTACTATTTCACCACCAAGAGAAACATTTCAAAGGGATTTCCAACTACTGTCATATGTTGGCCTTAATATGTCCTTAATTCTCTGTTCTTCTAAAAGTTGTTTGTGATGCATGAAAAATCCTATTTAAAAAAACCTGTTTATTACATTTTCCACTGAAGCACGTTCACACACACACACACACACACACACACACACACACACACACACACAC